CCCCAAAACCCCAAAACCCCAAAACCCCTTTCTAGCTAAATTGAGAATAAATCATAGTATGTATTAACATTAAAATCTGTTTTTAATATTATATATACTTTTATTTAAAAGCCATTCAATGGGAAAGAAGGAGAAGACTCAAGGAGTTGGTAAAAACCTTATTAAAAAGCACCACGAGAAGTTAAACCATCGTAAGAAGGGTGATTCAACTTTTAAACAAGTACTTCATTCATTTTGCTTTATAAATATATTTAGCACACTACAATCATTGTTGATGACAAGCCAAAGTTAAATTCAATCATTGATCAGAATTCCTTGGAAGAGTTCGTATAGCTGGCTTAATTGTCTAACAAAAAGTTCTTTGCTGAAAAGGAAGTCACTATTGTCAACAAGAAAGAAGTGCTATAGGGATCAGTTGAAAGTGCAAGTGCTTAGAGAGAATTATTAAATAATTTCTTGACAGAATCTAGCATCAAGAACCCATAGTATTAATTATTGAAAATCCCAAGAAAGCCCAAGTGGGATGAGAACATGAGTGCTCATGAAATCTAGACAAGAGAGAACTTAGCCTTCCTTTAATGGAGAAAAGACATTGCCACTGTTGAACAGGATAATGTTAATCTAGCAATTACTCCATTCGAAAAGAATCTCGAAGTGTGGAGACAACTCTGGAGAGTCATTGAGAAATCAGACATTCTGTTATAGATTGTCGATGCTAGAAACCCATACTTCTTCTACTCTCACGATCTGGAAAAGTATATTCAAGAAGTTGACAACAAGAAGGAATTCTATTTGCTGATAAACAAGGCTGATTATTTGACTCCATAGCTAAGAGAGCATTGGTCCAAGTACTTTAATGCTAATAATGTCAAGCACATATTCTTTTCAGCACTTGAAGAACAGTTTAAAATAGATAAAGATATTGAAGATGAGGGAACTAAGAAAGATGAGAGCGAAGAAGAAGATAAGGAAAGCTCAGAGGATGATGAAGAATCAGAAGGAAAAAAGAAAGTAGAAGAGTTCAAGAATATTGAAGAGGAAAAGAAAGAAGTTGAAGAAAAACTTGAACTAACAATGACCAAAATCTGCACTAGTCACGTGTTTACTAGATCAGAGATAATGGAGATTTTAAGAGGAAAAGCTTAGAAATTAGGCAAGAATTTTGACGACAGACTAATGGTAGGTACCGTCGGATATCCAAATGTTGGTAAATCATCAGTGATTAATGTTATTTGCCAAAAGAAGAGAGTGGGAGTAGCTTCTATGCCAGGTAAAACAAAGCATTTTCAAACTCTAAATATTGAGGGAAATCTATGTCTCTGCGATTGCCCAGGTCTTGTGTTCCCATCATTCACTAATTCAAAGGCAGAGATGATGTGTTGCGGTGTATTACCAATCGATACGATGAAAGACTTTATCTCTCCAATTTCACTTATAATCCACAGAGTGCCAAGAGAGGTGCTAGAGTCTTATTACAAGATTTAACTGCCACCAATTACTTCTAGAAAATATAATGCCAGCATATTTTTGCAGATATATGCTGCTAAGAAAGGTTATGTTACTGGCAGAGGTCTACCAAATGAGTCATAAGCAGCCAGAATTGTGCTAAAGGATTACAACAACGGTAGACTGCTTTTCTGTCATTTGAGACCTGATTACAAGGTTGAGATTCACGGAGAAATTTAATAGAGTGGATTCCACGATACTAGATTCCAAGTCCTAGATAGAGAAAATGAAGAATCTAAGGAAGAAGAAAAAAATGAAATTGATGAGGAAGATGAAGACGATGATGAGGAGGAGGAAGAAGAAGAAACAAAAATTGATGCAACTAGTGAAGATTAAACACAATCAACAATAAAGACTGAAGTCAATCCTTAACTACTTGACCCAGAAGCTCTTTTGGAGTAGTAATTAGACGAATAATTCTTTATTGTAAGCAACCAAGTCAAGGAACTGAAACTCAACAAAGGAGAGAAGAGAGCACTTAAGTTTGCAATTGCCAGAGGAGAGAAAATAGATGAAATTCCTAACTTGAAGGAGTACCTTGCTGAGCAGGTTAAAACACTCAAAGCTAAGAAGACAGTTAGAGGTATAGCTATTAAGAATGCAAAGCATAATGGTGGCAGAGGTGGCAATAACTCAAATAAGTTTTATGCTCTAGCTGAGTTAGATGACGGCTATGATAGCAAGTGATCACCTTTATTTATTAATTAGTAATATGTTAAGAAATTAGATTTAAAGTAAATTCTTGAACTATAAATATATTGCAGTTTGATGTTTATGTTGAAAATATAATTTTAAATTTGAATTAAAAGATGAATAAAGATTACTTGGTTGGTGCTTAACAACTAAATCACCAGCACCTAAATAAAAATTATTACCGAACTAACGAAGATGAAATCCAAACAGTTGATACTACTTGCATCCTGCAAAGCTATACAAATGCCGGTTTACATTCAGATAGCTACTTAGCCTAGAGATAACTTATTCCAAGAAATCATTTAATCTACTCCAATAGTCAGATTGGCCATCATAGATCAAACCATGAGCTGTTCGACCCAGACATTTATAGTAGTATTAAAAAGCAGGCTACCTCGTAAATCATTTAGAATGAGGAAATGGAGAATGAGATTGGCGACGATAGACTTTTCTTTTCTCATTAGAAAGATGAGTTACCACAGAATCTGACTCTACAAACTAATTCTTATGCTATTAATGCTTAGAATCTATAATAAACTAGCCAGTATTAAAATCCTAACAACAATAGCTATGAACATGTTCCTCTTAGTGATGACTAATTAGGTGATTCACAAGTCAATGAATCTATTAATGAAGACTTGCAAGTTGAAGAATTTGAAGATTCTTAACTAATAACTTAAGTTTAACTATTTCAATAACAGCAACTTCATGAAGAGAAATAGAGTATGATAAAACAAAAAAGACATGAAATTGATATTAAAATTTAGACTCTCTAAGAAAGAGCTAACATTATAATTAAAAAGTCCTACATCAAAAGATCAAAACTTGAAACATAGAAGCAAGACTTGATTGATAGGAAAATCTAAGCAGAGTAGAGACTCCAGTCTTTAATAAGGATATAGGAGTCGTTGGAAGAAAAGCTACAAGATTAGTTGTAGGATTTCAATCAAGTGAAAAATACAAAGGAGGGTGAGATGACTATAATAATCTAGCCAAAAAGAAATTAAACTTTTCAGTTGCAGCAGGATATAGAAATTAATAATGCTAAAATTCAGCAGGTAACTAATATCATCCTATATAATATGATATTTAGATTGAAAATAAGATTAATTCGCTGAAAAGTAAGGCCAAATAGATAGAGAAGTAGATTTAAGCTATTCAACAGGAAATATGGAATCAAGACTAGCTATTATTAGTTCTTAATCAAGAAATAGATAATTTGCTGCAGTAAGTTTTACTTTTTATTAATTCAATTCATAGATAAAGTGGAGAATATCTTTAGATATACCATCAAATACAAGATTAAAAGTAGAAAATAGCCGAGCATTAAAATAAAATTGATAAAAAGCAATTAGAACTAGAGTTGAACATGAATATTAATAGGAAATTTTCTAATAACTTAAACTTTCTAAATGATACTCGCATTATGAATGTAGGAAGAGGCGAAGAATAATAGCATCATGATAGAAGAGTCAAAATCGCATAAATAGAAAACATTCTAGGATAACATGGCTTTTATGATTACATTGTTTAATAGCATACTACCAAATGCGAAATGATGATATTGGAAAATTAGAATAGATTACTTGAAAGCAAATTAATTGATCTTTAGAATGAGAAGAATTTAACTGATATGATGATACAATCTATAGGTGAGTAGTAGATGAATAATCTACAAGTAGTCAAGATATTCAATGATATTAAATATAAAAATAAACTGTTGAAAATGAAAGTTAAATTGCTTGATAAAGCTCTGGCTTAAAACTAAAAAACTCTTGAGCTTCATAAGTAAAAATTGGACTATGAATATAACGCAAACTTTTATCAGGGCGATCATCGATTGTTCAACAATTTCCTATTTCTAAATATTAATCCTTAGACAATGCAAGACGAAAAATACTATCTTGATTTATTTGAAAATTACAGATCTCTTATTCTTCAGTTCAATGATCCGCTTAATGTAATTAGACTAGAATAGTAAATAATCTAGAAATAAAAGCCTTAGATTCACAAAACTATAAGTATTCTAGAATTCCATTATTCTTTCTTGACGGACTCACTTTAAAAAAGTAAAGGTTTAGTAAAGCAAGAGAGATTCAAGCTACAATAGCTTTAAAAACTCTTGCCAATAGTTGAGTAAAAGATATCGCATGTTCTCTTCAGCTAGTATATAGAAAGACACCATGATGAAATTCAAACAGTCATTAAAACATATGGAAAGTAAAACTTTGAAAAGAAAAAGCATCAGCAACTTGAGGAATTTCATAAGATAAACTGCCAAAGACTTTAAAAGGACTATGAGATGATTGACATTCTAATGAATAAGAAGAATGACATCATCAATAATTAGAGAATGTATAAGATTAAAGAATAAAAATAACTAGAAGATAAGACTACTAACATTCAAGCAAAGATTATTAAGTTCTAAGATGAGAAGGAGATGCATAGTAGGGACAGTGGTAATAAGAGGTATTTAATCGAACAGATAAAGCAATAAGTTTAGAGTGCTAAGAGACATATTGATGATCAACTCAAATGTGTGCTTGATCAGGAGGATCATAAGTATGGAATTAAGGAGATATATTAAAAGCTAAAAGAGATAATGCAAGTGGAAGAAGAGTCAAAGGATGTGATAGAACAATGCGAAAGATAAATAGATGAGATAGATGATTTTGAAAAGTAGTGTCAATAAAAGGCTGAGAGTTAAAGAGAAATTTGCCAGAGATAGCTAGAAATTATGCAATAGCTAAAAAAGGAAATAGACATAAATATGATAAAGGAACAATTAGGAGCACTAAATGGTGAGCTTAGTCTCATTGAACAAAACATAGATGAAGTTATAAACATTGATGTTGACAAGATTATCAACTCACTCAATGAAAATATACCACTCAGCACAATACGAATTCCTTAGTTGCCCCCTATATAAAGAGAGGAGGATTAGAAGTAAGTTAAATCAATCTGCAAGCATTTATAGTAGGTGTATGAATTCCAAAACATCAACAGTAAGCAAGAATTTGACTTATTTCAAGCTATTGCTCCCTTACTAGAGGGTTATAAAATTAGTATTTAGAAGAAGTAATATTCCTAAAATTAGAAATATAAAATGGTATATGAAGATAAGTACTTCAGAATTTCTAATGACTTTACTAGATTTGAGATAAGATCCCTCGATGATTTGATGTTTCGAGTAGACTCTTTTTTCAAGATTCAGTAACTGAAAAGCATCAAAATTACCAATCAGACTTAAATTACTCTTAGGAAACTTCAGTTAGATTTCTAGGACTTAACCTCACCTAGTAGATAATCTCAAGAAAACATATCAATTAACAGAAGGTCAATAACTAGGCCAATGACAACAAAGAATTTCAACAATAGATCTAATAATCTAGCAAGTTTCAGCGATTCTCATAGCTGTAATGGCTAGTTCTCATCAATGACAAGAGGGGGCTACTCTACAAAATCTCTGGCTGCAAACTATAATTAGTAAAAGTCAGTTGATAGATAAAGAAATTAGTATATCCCACTAAGAAATCAAACTGAAGCAGAAATATCTTTGACAAGTCAAAATTAAAATCTTTAATAGAATGGATATTCATAAGCTCAATCCTAAAGTAATCACTCTTAATAAATTTGGAATGAAAACTATTCAGAAGAAAGCTTTGAATTTATAATGATTTTAAGTGATAAAGAAATAATTGCAAAGACTCAGGACTATAACGAATTCAAGAGCCTAATTCAAACTTGCAAAAAATTAATAGAAAAGAAGAAGCATCTTATGGATTTAATAGAAACTGGAGAAATTAAATAGAAGATGAGAATATTCAAAATATGACTTTATTAAGATTATAATTAAACTTTTACTATCCTACTTATAAGTTTTAGTGGGGTTTTGGGGTTTTGGGG